CTTCTATGACGAAACTGTACTGTGTTCGCTTTAGCCGGGCATACTGTATATAACAGTTAATGATAAATCATTGTGTAGGGGGACAGGCAGCCAGTGTATATATACAAGTTAGGCTTATACCGGTCCCACAAAGGTAGAACTATGGAGTAAGACTGGGTGCTGCCGGGGCTGAACTTTATCACCCTTACAAGCACAATTTTTTGTTAAATCTTCACAAGGAAGAACAACTGTAAATGTTGGAATAGTTTATTACAACATACAAGCTAAAGAAACCAGTTCAGAAACTGAGGCAATAAAGCTGCCGAAAAGAAACATTACAAAGTCCACTCATGCAGTGATAGACATTCTGGCCAAAACAGGAATTTTACACTGATCTTAACGCTGATATGTTGATGTGATTATCATAATATAAAGATGTTAAGGCAGGCTGGTTTAGTTCATTTATTATGCACCCCATACCCATCTTGTGGGCGGTAGTGGAAAAGGTTACAGAGGCACATAATGGGCTCAGGGACTAAACCCCACAATTTATTTAGCTAAGCAAGTTACAATCTTGATGAGCTAGTTACAAAATTCAATAGACATCGTCACATTAGGAAAGCCTTTTTATTTATTAAATGGTATAAGGACAAATTAAAAGAACATAACTTAATTTAAGTTGCTCACGTGACCCCTAAAAAAGAGGTGATTTGATAAAATAACTATGCCCAAGATTACCATCATAGTGCCGTCGGGATGATGAGCAAATAGCCTCGGCTACCATCATCTTTTGTACGGTCGTGATGGTCGAGTGGTTAAGATCTCCTGTACGCCAGTTGCATAATGCTCCTGACAGTATGGGTTCGAGTCACTTATGGGGTGTGAGTTTTCAGTTGCATATATGCCTGGGGACCATTCAGGCTTGTTCGCATATATATATAGAGGCACATCAATAATCTTTTGTGTCACAAGTGATTCAACAAGAGGCTCACAACAGTCACTATAAAAGGCACTTTACATCTATGATGAGTCGCACAGTTACTAGTCTTGCTGCACACCCACCCAACTGGGCGGCAGCTTTACAGTCATGTGCATGCATTACCTACAGTAAGCAAATTTTGGATACGCTAAGATTTCGGGCAGCACATCATTATGAATGAAGTACTTACACATTTCTTGAACACTATTGATGGTGTTATCTCTAAATTCCGCGATTTTTTTTACATTCCATTATATAATGACGCAAAGTATGCGAATAGTTCTGCTGACAGAGTTTACATTTAGTCAAATCTACATCAGCAGATGTTACACGTTCGCAGAGGTACTTATAGCCAAGCCTAAGCCTAGCAGTGGTAACATCTAGAAGTCTGCTAACTTTATTAGATGACCCATAGACGTGCGGTACTTCCTGCATAATAGAATGATGATAGATGAAGTAACTGGTGTGAATTTCACTTTGCCTCAAGTTTCCGAAATTTAGTTGATGTTCCCGGAATATTACTGCCCTCAGGCTGCTCAAAAGCAGTCATAAGAATAGTGTAATAAACGCAATTATACTCAGAGCATTTACTGATTGTTCTTGCTGGTATAAAATCTATAAGGAACTGGAGAAAAGCCTTCAAGTATTAGGTACACGAATTGAAAAGTCAGTACCCATATCAGAAGATATTTAGAAAAATTGTATAACACGCTTTCCATTAGGAACCGCTTTCAATTTGTAGGTAGTAACTAAGTGATTGTAACCTATCCACCGCTGCCCACTGGATGGGGGGCGGTGTGCAGGACAAACATATCAATTGTGACTCTAGCTCTCAACATATGTCAGTTGCTTAATATAGAAATTGTGTTTGTGATCGACCCATTGATGATGTGACGACTTATACTGAATTTTGTAACTAGCCTTACCACTGCGCCACTGGGATTGCTAAGTTAAAGGCAACCAAGCGGATCGAATTTCGATGCTCATATTCCTTTGATATAAGCGTGAGGAATTATTGTATATTATCACTGCTTTCTGTGTGTAGTGAGGTGTTATAGTGGTGTTGCTTTTCTAAATATAAAGCTCTCCTCGCTCTCTTGAGTTAGTGGGTTTGTGCCTATAACGGCTTGGGCAGGGTTGTCAGCGCAGCTAGTGAAGATCTACGCTAAAAATAGCTAATTTTGCTTTCTTTCCTGTACAGTTTCCTTTAACAATTTTGGCATTTAGAGTGCACCCTAAATTATTGTTTCTTTATTCATGCGGTTCAAACGTTCTTGCGAAAACCTAAAAAAAACTGTCTATAAGTGTATTTTAAGTTTACTTTAACCTTTTCTTCAGCAACACCTTGCTGAATGCTAGCTACTACTGCACCTCCTTTTCAAGCAGGCGCAGTACCACATGAAGCGCTTATCTTCTAATGTATCTCGGAAAGCACATGTTAATACACATATACACTCGTGTACACACATACGCAAGACGCTTAAACTCGTCCCATGTAACATACTCAAATTCTCTGTTATTGTTATTATTAGCACCACCTTAAGGGTCACAGAGATCGATGGGCCGACCCGTAGACCAAGACTGCTGCTGCCAGCACCGTGCCTGTTACCTACACTGTATGATGTATGTTCCGTGCCTGGTGCGTCCACTGTATGATGTATGTTCCGTGCCTGGTACGTACATTGTGTGATGTATGTTCCGTGCCTGTTACGTACACTGTATGATGTATGTTCCGTACCTGGTACGTACATTGTGATGTATGTTCCGTGCCTGTTACCTACACTGTGTGTTGTATGTTCCGTGCCTGGTACGTACACTGTGTATGATCTATATTCCGTGTACACAGAGTATTACAGACACAGTGCCTATGCCATTATACTCGTTATATACTTATAATATATGTTTGGTATACAATGGATTAATTTCTGTAGTGCTTTTTTTTACTAGATACAGCATTTGTATATTTTATGAAGCCAATAATTTATCATAGTGTTGGGCATAGCTTAAAATATTGAGTGAACAGAGATTTCAATTTATTGATGTCATGCTACAGAAAAGTGCCTATTACATATACTGTGTATGTTATATATACCGTGACTTACATATACCGTATTTGTAATATATACTCTATAGTCACAGTTTGTCTAGCCGACCTGCGGCTTATCTGAGCCTTCATATGCAGATGATGAGTCACAATAACGTGGCTGAAGTATGTTGACCAGACCACACACTAGAAGGGACGACGACGTTTCGGTCCGTCCTGGACCATTCTCCAGTCGATTGTGTCTTCATACTTCAATATCATTACGACAGTTAGTCCTAAATATTCAGACCTTCCTGACCTCACTGCGGGACAAACGTATCCACGGAGGCCGGTGAATGAGTGCTGGGGCGCGTCGACACCACGGACATGGGACCCAATCTTCCTGTTCAGACAGCAGTTTTTGTAACATGTGGACCATCGTACATACATTGAGGTAATGTACAGTTAGATTATATAAATTGAATACAGTAGTATTAAATTCTGTTGAGTCCGAAAAACACTAAAAACCAAACTTAAATATTCCTGGTTGTAGTATATCACATATATAATTTAATACTTTATTGTGTCAAGGGATAAGCAGCCAGAATACAGTACATGTTAGGCTTATATTGAGTACATGTTAGGCTTTTACCGATTTCTACTTTCTAATTGCCTCTTACGTTAATATATTCTTAGTCATTACTATAAGCACTACTAAACAAGAGGATGGGCTGGGAACCTACATTAAACCTATTAAAACCAACAAATAACCAATCTTGATTATAAAGAATTCATATGTCTATGTGAATTTATGTATATTTAAGAGATACAGTTTGTGTGTATTTAAAATGTATAATCTTTATTGATCATTTATACGTTATTTTATGATAATCTCCAAGATAAAGTAAATTCAGAGTTTATGTACAGTGGGTGCTAGGATGAGGTAGCCATTCACAGGGTTGGACCCCTGGCAGGAAAGGATTGAGTGCCAATCCTTGCCTGTCCGCCCCTGTTTATCCACCAGAAATTGGGGACCTGGTTGTAAATCGATTAGCAGTCCTGTGGGAGGGAAGAAATTTCTATGGCTACTAAGACGTCAACAATAAGTAGGAGGGACCTTTGACAAGCCGCCGGCTTCAGATTCCCATTGAGGCCCCTCACCGTCCAGAAATCTCTTTAGAATAACTATGGGTGTTGAGAACTTGAGACTGCCTCTAGTGCTGTACTTGAGGTCGATCTCGAACCCATTGTTGATGTGACGACTTATATTGAATTTTGTAACTAGCTCATCAAGATTGTAACATGCTTAGCTAAATGACTAGTGAGGTTCAGTCCTTGAGCCCATTATGTGCCTCTGTAACCCTTTCCACTACCCCCCCCCCTCCACAAGATGGGTATGGGGTGCATAATAAATGAACTAAACTAACTAATAGCGAATGTAGGTTTCACATTCACCTAATTGTAATTGAACCCAGTAATTAACGTTTTACAATATTTATTGTAATAAATATCCCAGTACTTTCAATAGTACAGTCGGGTTCGTTCTCAATTCACAATCTGGCATTCCGTGTTCGAATCCCGGCCGAGTTGGGCACATTTCTTATCCAAATTAAAAAAAAAAAAAAAAAAAAAAAAAAAAAAAAAAAAAAACTCTCACCTCACCTAATGAATGTTGGGTGTTTTCCAGTTCACCAGTATAGTAAATGTATAGTAAATAATACACAGAAATCACAATAGCGTGATTTCTTTATTTATATTATGTATTTATTCATTTTTAGTCATTAAGTACCGAGGAGTTGTTAGGTTGTTGTGTGGTTACCTGCTGGGAGGGTCAGTAATTCCACCTTGGGGGGTCTTGATATAAGCCTAACATGTATATATATACACTCTGGCTGCTTGTCCCCCTGATATAATGAATTATTATTATTAACTATTACTCCATATAGGAGGTTTGAAATGTGGCAGACTGGTGGTAAATGTAGCGGAGTGAGCGGGAGCAGTTGGCACCGCTGACCAAAACAAGCTACACGTCAGTGTTGTCTGGCTCGCCGCCCCGACCTTCAGCCTTCCCTTTAAACCTCCTCCTATCTTTAATTACCATGTTCGTGTACCCACAGTGACAAAATGAACACTTTCGAAAAGACTTGTTTGAGCATGTGTAGTTGGCTTTTCGCGCGCATTGTTAGGAGAGACTCCAGAAGGAGTATATGAGTGCAATGGCTAAGGATCGTGGCGCAGAAATCCTTGACGGGATTCAAATGGTCAATGGACTTAAAGGCGGCGTAAAGCTCTCTTGTAGTGGGATGTGCAAGTTTGTGTTGGTGTTCCTCGTCTTGTGTCTTCACTGCAGGCAAGTTCACTACATGGGGATTTATGTCTAATGGAAAAAATTAATAATAAGTTGTTACATATATTAGCTTCTTGGATTTGGCTTTAGATAGGCTGAGGGAGGACAGCTGCTCTGAACTTGCAGTTTTATTAGCAACACTTAACATCATTCCTTCTGAATTCTTGTCTTAAGTTGGAAAAAAAAGTGTTAGTTTAAAAATTTATCATTACTGTATGTTGGATAATGGAGTCATTATAATTTGTTTAAAACAAATTATGCTTGATCTAGTTAGTGATTACATAGGTATAGTATTTTTATAGTTTTTATAAAGCCATGCATACTTTTTAATTAATGAAGCCAAAGAGATTTAGTTGAACTAAATTATTTTAGAGATATATTGATGTATACAGTATGTACTTCAAATGTAATCAATCACTCTCCAAGTGTGCTGCTCTTAGCATAGTTCAGTGTATAGTACTTTGTCACAACTGGAACTCGAGGAATAAGAAATATAGTGAGATGTTAATTTAACTACTTGATAAAGACTAGAGAATTTGTTCCTAGTCAATCAAATTTGTTATGGTGACAATTATTAAAGGTAATGTTATCTAGGGATGAAGTTAGTAAACATAGTGAGGTATCCATAAACCCATTGAACCCATTGTTTGTTATGGTGACAATTATTAAAGGTAATGTTGTCTAGGGATGAAGTTAGTAAACATAGTGAGGTATCCATAAACACATTGAACCCATTGTCTTGCTCATGCTGTAGAATGACATGGCTGTACTGGTAACAGAATTTCTCTATCCTGCCTTCTCTGGCTTGACTATACAGCCTGGTGTTGCGGTCTGTCTATAGCATTTGTAAATTTTAAAAAGAATGTGTAAATTGTAGCTGTCAGACCCATGCAACTGAAATATTATTTGCTACCCAGATATAATTGCACTTATTTAAATAATTAAGATGATGATGATTGGCTACAAAAGTTTTAATATTAGGGAACAATTACATTATTTATTCCAGTCTCCTGGGTTAGCATGAATTTTTCTGTGCTTTCTGGCAAATTCTTCACACCTTTTCCATTCCCCTCATCTTACCTCTGCACCTCTGCATATATGGCTAGTTTCATTACTAGGCCTACCTTGTGGAGGTTCTGTGGATCAAAGGCCTAATGACCCAGTCTCCAACAAAGCCTCCTAGTTGGTCATCTGGTCAACTAGGCTATTGGATGCTGCTGCTCGCAGCAGGTTCATCGGGTATTCTTTGGAGGTGTTTGTCGCGTTCTCTCTTGAACACTGCGAGAGGCTGGGCTGTTATGCCCCCATGTGTGTAGCAGGAGAGAGTTGAGAGTTGAAAAGTCTTGAGCCCTTGATGTTAATAGTTCCTCCTTGGTGTACATATTACACCTTTGCTTTTGAATTGGGCTGTTTTACACATCCTGCCATCTTACTAGCTTCATGTGATATCTTTGTGGTCAGATTTGGAACCGGTCCCTCTTAATGTTTTCCACATGTAGATTATTATGTATCCCTCACCTGCATTCTAGAGAATACAGATTTAGAACTTTTGATTGGTTCCAATAATGTGGACGAGTTGCAGAGTTGTTTCTACGACTCGTCTTCGCACGCTCTCTAGGTCAACAATTTCTCTGGCTCTGAATGGCTGTTAGTATGCAACAATATTCCACCCTAGAGAACACTTGTCTTGAAAAGTATCATAATTGGCATGGCATCCCTTGTTTGGAAGATCCTAGTTATCCATCCTGTTATTTTTCTTGCAATCGTGACAGCTACTTTATTGGGTTCTTTAAAGGCAAAATTTTCTGACATGATTACTTCTAGATCCTTTACATTGTTTTTTTGTTCTATAGTGTGATTTTGATTCTGCTTTTTTTATAGTTTCCTATTTTTATATAGTAATTTTTTCCATAGCTCAGGAGCTGGAACTTATTGTCATTAAACATCATTATTATGTGGCCCATTGAAAGACCTGATATGCATCAGATAGGTGTATCATGTCCTCTATATTGTCTACCTGCATGAAAATCCTAGTGATATCTGCAAATAATACAGTACTAGAGTTTGTATCCTTGTCCGTATGGTGAGGATGAGAAAAAGTACCAGAGCAAGTACGGTACTTTGTGGGACTGAGCTTTTCATGGTGGATGGTCCAGATTTTACCGTGTTGATTATTACACTGCATTCTGTCCATTAGGAAGTTAAAAATCCTTTCCTTACTGTGCCAGAAATTCCTTTTGTGCATTTCGTGCACAATAACTCCATGGTCATGTTTGTCAAAAGATTTTGCAAAGTATGTGTATATTTCATCTGTGTTGCTTGTATTCCATGGCACCTAAGGCCATGTCATGGTGATCTAGCAGTTGTAAAGGGCAGGAGCGCCCTGTTCTGATCCTGTGTTTCTCGGGGTTATGTAGATGTTAATTCCATGTGATTGTAATCTTGCTTCTTGGCAATCTTCCAACTATTTTTATGATGTGTGAAGTTCGAGCTATTGGCCTATAATTTTTTTGCATCTACTTTACTACCTTCTTTGTGAAGTGGCATGATCATTATACTGTATATATATAGGCACTTCCTATATGTGAGTACATGTAGGAAGTGGTCTACCTATAGCTATCTTGCATTTAAGCATCTGCACTGTTGAGCATTTCTTCCATGGAGACACTCTCCCCTACAAACCTATACAGGACTAACGGGCAGCCCTCAGAAATGCTCAGAAGAATAAGAATCTGGTGCTAAAACTTTTCAGGAATAAGGACCCAGCATTGGGAGGTAGCGGAGGACACTCAAAGGCGTTCATAAGAGATTTCTTTGTAGCGTTCACCTCGAAGATCCCAGTAAGGTACCTACTACCAAAGATATATAAAGGAATCCTACTAGAGATGCACATCTGGCCAGGTAGAGCTGTTCTGCATGATTTCTAGCCCCAACACAACTGATTGACTGGATTTGTACAGCACTCTTAAATCCATTACTGAAACTTCTCCTGGAGAGACTCGGAGACACAACAGATTTCTTAAACAAGATAAGAGACCTTACCTTGAGGTGATTTCGGGACTTAGTGACTCCTGGTTGCTGGATTGGTCAACCAGACTGTTGGACGCAGCTGCTTGTAGCCTGACGTATGAATTGCACCCCCTGGTTGATCAGGTAACCTTTGGAGGTGTTTGTCAAGTTCTCTTGAACACTGTGAGGGGTCGGCCAGTTGTGCCCCTTATGTGTAGTGGAAGCGTGTTGAACAGTCTTGGGCCTCTGATGTTGCTAGAGTTCTCAGAGTACCTGTTGCACCTCTGCTTTTTAATGGGTGGTATTCTGCACATCCTGCCATGCCTTCTGATCTCGTATGATGTTATTTGTGTGTGCAGGTTTGGGACCAGCCCCTCTACTATTTTCCATGTGTAAATTATTATGCATCTCTGCCCCGTGCTCTTAAGAGAATACAAATTTAGGCTCTTTAGTTGGTCCCAATAGTTTTGATGTTTTATTGAGTGGATTCTAGCAGTAAAGGATCTCTGCACGCTCTCCAGGTCAGCAATATCTCCAGCTTTGAAAAGGGCTGTCATTGTGCAGCAGTATTCCACTCTAGAGAGCACTAGCGTCTTTGAGGGAACCCATACATCCAGGAGCCATACTATTCTCACTAGATATGGTCTCACTATATCCCAACATACCACAAAGAAAGGCAGCGAGAGAAGTATCAAATTTCTTTGAGAAAAACATACTCTACACAGGATTAAAAATTAATTACAGGAAGCTGGGTAATGGTGCACCCCCAACCAAGCACTTGCTTGAGGAAGCAATACTACATGTTATGCGGGACATGATCTTAGTTTTAATGGAAAAGCATATAAACAGATCAAGGGAACAGCCATAGGGGCTTCCAGTAGCATAGCAATAGCAGAGATCGTCCACATAGCCTTTGAATTTAAGGGGACGAACAGACAAGAATGCCCGATAACCTATCATATGTACATATACAGTACGATATTTTCGGCATCGGAGCGGGAGGGAGCCAACAATTAAAAGCTTTCTTTGCATTGACAAACATGGCACATGGTAACCCGAGATTCACACTAGAACAAAGTGAACACTCGATATGTTTCCTGGACACGATGGTGTACTTAGATGAACACGAAAGGACTCTACAAACAAAAGCATTCCACAGACTGACACACCTTCACTCATACCTCTCTTACATATCGGGATTACCCACTTTCCCTGAAGACCTCCCTACCCTTCTCTCAAGGATTGACTCAAAAGGATCACATGGAAAGAACAGGACCTCCTATCAGAGTTAGAGAACCTCTGGGAACTTTTCAGAAATAGAGGTTACCCAGACCAAGCACTGAAAAAGCAACAGAAAAGCACGGAAACCTAGAGGGGTGCACTTCTACAAGCAACCAAAAGGAAAAACAATCTTGACAGATGGATCCTACCAGCATTCTTCTTCCCCAGGCCTTGCAGGCCCCTACAACTGAACCTACAGGACGTAAGGGATAGGATGAGGGAAACCTATGAAGACCAACTAATTTGGCCTCTCTTTCCGAAGACTCCCAATGGTGACCTGGAGAAGGGAAAATCACTAAGGGACCACCTAGTTTGAGTACATTTCTCACAGACAATCGTCTCTTCTGACGGTGCTAGGACCTGCAGAGGGGCCCACAGCCAAAAATATGCCCAACCACTTCGACCAGATGGTATGGCAACGGTCTTCTTGTAGGTTGGCGTTCGTCCCCCGACTGTCAAAGCGGCTGGGCACCATTCCTTTCCTCCATCCTGTCTTAAATCCTTATCCTCGTATCCCTTCAAAGTGCTGTGTTGCTGTAATGATTTAGTGCTTTCTCCTCATAATTGCTTTACCTTTTCCTCAAGCGTTTCATTATTTCTGAGATATAGCTACAATGAATTCTTGCAAACTTCACACAGCTATTTTCACAGCTATATTTATGATACTGTTTGTGTGCCATGTATAGTCTGCTCACTACTGTGTTCATACATAATTATCTTTTGCAATTGCCTTGCATTAACATGCTTTTTAATTTTCAGTATATGCTGCTGTCAAGATGCTTTCCAAAGCACAGTTAAAGCTTCACAGGAAGAAAAAACTAGCAGTGATATAACACCAAAGATGCCTCTGTTCAAGGTTGATGGAGAAAGATTTAAATCCATGGCTCAAAACAATGTTGAACGAGCAAAAAGCGTCCTTGGCATATCAGATGGTAAAAAAAATGATCCCTTTTCCAAACCAGCTTATAAAGCAGAAGATACAAAAAAAATACTAATTTCATTAAAGAATGAATTTTTATCAAAGCACGTGTTGCCAGATGTCCTATCAACTGCAGAATCTCACTCTATAAAGGAAACTCCGAAACTCCAAGCAAAAGAATCGCCAGAGAGAATGGAGACTAATTTGAAGTATATTGTAAAAAAAGTAAATCATGTTGACCATTTTGATACAAAGGAAATTGAGCCAGAAACATTAGAAATAAATAATAATGTCATTGAGAAACCCAAATTTTCTAGTGATGACAAAAAACCTATTATAGATAAAAGTGAAGTAAATAGTAAAGATAAATTCATACACCTTATTAGCGAAGAGATGCGCAAAGATCATCCTGTCTCGCAAGAAGAGAAATCAACTGAAACTTATGAACCAGAAAAGATTAAGGAAAACAATCAGGTCAGTGAATGTGTGTTTGTACAAGTCACTGTTATGTTAGTTATGCAGCGTGTATCCAACTGATCTGTAGTAGTAATTGTTTTCAGAGTTTTTCAATGTAGTACTGTAAAATAAACAATTCTTAATTATTCACATTAAGAGAAAGAAAATTCCAAATATTGTAATAGTGTAATATATTGTGTAGTAGATTACACAAACTCCATCGCAAATACTGTACAATCGCTTTGTTGCAAACATATGTTTTATATTTTGTGCTTTGGCCTAAATATAGTAACTAGTACTGTACCATCATATTTGTTAAAAGATGGTAGTTTAATTTTATAGATATTAGGATAAACATAACAAGAATTACAGTATTTTCAATATTGTAGGTTCACACTAAAAGTAGAAAGAAAATAGGCCAGAGTTTAGCCAGTTGAAATGGTCCCACTTGTAAAATACTTCTTTATTTCTTACAGGCTCAGTATTTGAGGGACTTTCAGAAACAAGAAGCCTTAATGAGTGAACCAATTACAAAGGAAGAAAAGCCTACAAATTCATTGCATCGAGAAAATAGTGAATTACCAGTAGTTGATAAAGCCGAGAATTATGTAAAGTTGGATATTTTTCGTAAAAGAGGGGCCCTGACTGTCATGGAAAAGCCATTACAGTCATATATTGAAGACAATTATGAGAAAGAAAGTGCAGTTATACAGGAAGATAGTAAATTGATCATGAAAAGTGGTGAGAGTGCTGATAAATTTATAGAGGAAGGGGAGAGAAGTGAATCTGAAGACAGGACTATGGAGGAAGCTGGTAATAGGTGAGTAGACATTGTCAACATAGTGTTTATTTACATGTTTTATTAGTGCGTTGACTGGCTTGCATGAATGTATTGCTTTCTGCCTCTTGAGGATATGACTGGCAATTTAATCGTTGGAATGGGATTCAGATTTTTTGTGTTCCTTGGCCAAGGTAAGAAATTTAAATTGTAATTTATGAATTTAAGTTTTTTTCATATCCTACATCATACTGTAGCAAATGCTGGTTTCAGACAATGCTTAACATTTTATTATCACAAGTATAGCAGACTAACTTAGACAATTAATTGAAAGTTCTTGTCACATGATAATGGTTGTTTAAAAAGTTTATCTATACTTTGTGACTTGTTTATTGGGCTACCTACAAAAGTAGTTATAACCCTAATGTTCAGATACATCGTAATATTTTTCTGTTAAAGAACAGTGCCATCTAGTATTGTTAATTTCAATATAGATTGTTTACATTTTGGCTAATCTGCAGCTTTATAAACCTGTTTCCAGTACTTTGTTCCAGGCCCAATTCTCAATATACTGTACCATACTTGTATTGAAACCCAGTACTAGTTGCATGCTTACGCACACAATTTTTTTTCATATTTTCAGTCTTGATTACTTTACCTTAAGACAGTCTCCAAATTTTCCTGTATGTAGTCACAAAATACTAGTGTGTGTTTGTAAATAACCTATGACAAATAATCAAGTGGAGTAGCTTAGTGTGTGTGTGTGTGTGATATATAGATGGGGATATGCATATGTGTGTTTCATTCACTTGGGCACTAAGAGATTTGAACTGTCGAACATAGTTCCCAAGCGAATGAAATGTTTATTTCCACAAAAGTGTGTTTGACAATACTGTATACTGTGTAAAAAATATATTAAATGGAAATGTATGTATCCTTCTGTTTTGGTAGTACTTATAGGAAAGATGAGGACCATAGTACATATACTGACGTACAACACAATTGGAAAATAGAAATCGGTGCTATTGAATGTGGACCAACCGGAAAACTATTTTCTGCTTATGTTGCAAAGACAAAATAAACAAAACTAACACAAATCACAATAACGTGATGCATCAAATGAACAAATCCACAAGGGCCGTGACGAGGATTTGAACCTACGTCAGAGAGCATCCCAGACGCTGCCTTAATCGACTGAGCTACATGTTGTATTTCTTTTACCGTGTCGTAGCTCAGTCGATTAAGGCAGCATCTGGGATGCCCTCTGACGTAGGTTCAAATCCTCGTCACGACCCTTGTAGATTTGTTCATTAAATAAACCTAGCCTTCTTAGGCATAATACAACATACTGTTGTACTATCTGAGGCCTAATATAGTACATGTGGGTGCTATACTAGGCCTAGGAATATTTGTTTAACTTAATTTGTTCAGACTATAAAGTAAATAGTACAAAGTTTGACTATCAAATTTAGTACATCAGTGTTTGTACTATAGCGCACATAGTTACAAAGTACTATTTAAACAGGATTATAGGTTGGTCTCTGAGGTTGGAGGCCAGACAGGGAAGAAATAGGGAGGGTGGGGAGAAAATTGAGGACATGGGAGGGGGAGGATTGTAAGGAATGTGGGAAGGAGAAGGGAAAGGGTGGGGGAGAGAGTAGGGGTGGAATAGGGGTAGGGGAGAGACAGATAATCCCAGGAAGTGACGGGTACCCCGCCTAGTAACATACGCAAACTTTCATCATTCTAACCCATAATGCAGTACTAGTTTTAACCCACTATTGCATTGGGGATTTATTGGAGACACTTTATCATAAATTTTTGAAACGTTCAAAATGTTAAAACATATTCTTGCAGGTCTGTAGAGCATAAAATTCTGGACGTGAAAATGTAAAGTAATATGAAATACAGTAGTATTATGTAATATTCTAATTGGGAATATTGCTCCACACAATTTGTACCACCTAACCTGCCGACTCTTGCGTGTCGGTGCAGGATGTTCTGTCGGATAGTGTGTGTGTACTCCCCTAATTGTGCTTGCAGGGGTTGAGCTCTGGCTCTTTGGTCCCACCTCTCAACCGCGTGCGTGCGTGTGTGTGTGTGTGTGTGTGTGTGTGTGTGTGTGTGTGTGTGTGTGTGTGTGTGTGTGTGTGTGTGTGTGTGTGTGTGTGTGTGTGTGTGTGTGTGTGTGTGTGTGTGTGTGTGTGTGTGTGTGTGTGTGTGTGTGTGTGTGTGTGTGTGTGTGTGTGTGTGTGTGTGTGTGTGTGTGTGTGTGTGTGTGTGTGTGTGTGTGTGTGTGTGTGTGTGTGTGTGTGTGTGTGTGTGTGTGTGTGTGTGTGTGTGTGTGTGTGTGTGTGTGTGTGTGTGTGTGTGTGTGTGTGTGTGTGTGTGTGTGTGTGTGTGTGTGTGTGTGTGTGTGTGTGTGTGTGTGTGTGTGTGTGTGTGTGTGTGTGTGTGTGTGTGTGTGTGTGTGTGTGTGTGTGTGTGTGTGTGTGTGTGTGTGTGTGTGTGTGTGTGTGTGTGTGTGTGTGTGTGTGTGTGTGTGTGTGTGTGTGTGTGTGTGTGTGCGCGTGTGCGTGTGTGCGTGTGCGCGCGCGCGCGCGCGCGCTGTGAACCCGGGGACGTGTAGGTAACCCAAGTCATTTCTGTTAAGATCTTGTAAATATTCCCACACATAATTGTTCCCATACCGTATATTACAATAAATATACATGAAGTATCGGTCATTTTCGGGTAAATGTGTGAGTGAAGGTAATAATTAAGCAAGATTGGATAGATATATCGTGTTCTGCGTGTTCTTGTGCAAAAGCTGTTATAGCAGACTAGTGTTTGGGAGACTGTGGCGCCGAGGCGCCTGCCGCCTGGTGACACTTTACCTACCTGACCGCTGACGCCTAAATTAACCAACCCGTCCTCATAATAGAACAGCGCATTTTGACGTATACTCTACCTAAGGCCAAAAAATGTCATGCTAGAAAATTGAAGCGGCTCACGAAATTGACATAATGTCCTGTTTTCTATTTTGGGTCCTTTGGTAGGTTAGGATAAGGGCACGTTAGTACGACAGTTTCTTGAGGTTGGGGAACCTTAGGAGGACAACAGTGGTGCAGGTAGACGGCCCGCCAGCCAGTCCTGAGGCGCAATTTGTCAACTTTTGCTGCGTCTTTGTCTACACTTGTATTTAAGTGTGTGCGTGTGTTTGTCGTCTCTTATGTTGCAAACTTTGTGAATTGTTTGTAATAGTTATTTCCTAGGTGTGTGTGTAGACATTTTAGTACATTATTAAATGTTGTAAATGCAGTTGCATGAATGGATCGATCCCTTTACTAAACTGTCTTGATAACTCTTGGTATCGCTGGGTTCGTAGTTTGTGTACTTGCTGTGATTTAGACAAAACCTGAAGGCTGCATAACCAAAATGTTAATTACGCAAGCCAGGTAAAGTGTTCGCCTGCCTGTATGGGGCTCCGGGAGGTCCTGGCGCTGCGCCACCATGTTCTGTGTTAAATATGTCACGTCATGGAAATACTTGCTGGCGAGGGTCAAGTGCGCGTGTTGGAGAATGGCGTCGTGGGAGACGTTGTTTACACTCGAGGAAATGTTTCAGAGAAAGTTGGATGGGTATAGTTATTATTATTATTATTAACATCTTTATTCACAAAATTAATTACAATTTTGCCTAATCTGAGGATTTTGATAGTCTTATTAAAATGAGGATAATGCTGGTATTCACTGTCACGCAGGACAGAGGGTCATACATAAGACAATAGGTCTAAACTGTAGGCGGAAGCACATATATATCATGGTTACAATCAATGTTTTAATGTATGGATATGCGAAAACAACTTTCTACTGTGCACTGCCACACAAGGGCAGGGATGGGTTCATAAGTGATGCAGCTTAGAAGTAATATAAATAAAAATAAAAATGGGTACAGTGGTGCGAGTCATGGGGTCCCAGGCACCCACACCAGTCCCGAGGCTACGCTAATCCAAGTGATCTCCAAGCAATGGATCCTGAGCCCGCCGCCGAGGAATATGTTGATGCTCGAAGTGGGGTGCAGTCACCCGATGACCTGGAACCCGATGCTGATCTGGATAACGGAAATGAGTGGCATTTGCAACAATCAAGGAATGCGAGAAGAAAGTCTAAACTTGCAGACTCTGCTGATGGCGATGAGGACATTGGCAATGATGACAGAAACACCGGAACCCGTGTGAAGACGGTGGAGGTGGGCGGTGGTGGGCCCACCCAGCCAGTGGCCCGCCCACCCAAGCCTCCTATTGCTCCCCGCGCTGACTATGTGCGCCTGGCATTCCCAGCTGGAACATCCACCAACGATAAACTTAAATGGTTCGAACAACTTTCTACTAAGTTCTCCAAAACACTCCTCGATATAGTCCGACCTAGACCAACATCCCCTTACATCTTTGTGTCACGTAAGCAGGAAAATATCATCACTCAACTGGTTAAAGGTGAGATTGCTAATATTGTTTTCACCAGAGAAGACATCATCAATCGACCTAAAAAATTTAAGGAGTATATTGTTACCAGTTTTCCCAAAGAGTATCCTCTTGATAGAGCTTATACCCTTGACGGGGTCTACAAGGCAAGACGGATATATAAGGATGGTCATCCTCTCAACAGGATCATCATTGTTTGGAATGGCGGTGACCCTCCCCCTGAACATTACACCTTTTTTGGACATTTCATCCCATCAAGTCCTATAAAATCTTGGGTATCCCCCCCTGTTGTTTGTTATAAGTGCCATGGTACTCATCATATCTCTAGGTACTGTCAACATGACCCTGTGTGTGGGCTCTGTGCTGAACAGCACCAAACAAGGGAGTGTCCTCACAGGGACCCCCCTACCCTTGAGGATGGGGAGGAAGCCTCTCCTCTGGTCCGGAAGTGTCCCAGGTGTAAGCGTCAAGGTGTAGATGTTTGGCATCCTGGCTGCCCTCGACGCCCCGCCCTCTCTACCATGAGCAGGACGCCGGAGGCGTCTGGTCCAGCTGCAGGAGGCACCCAGCTGGAAGCTCC